ACATCTGTAGCACATTGTTGAGTCTTTACACAAAAATATTCATCACCTGTGTAATCACATCATGACATCATCTTTCTTAGCCTCTATAATATCTGGGGGCAGGGATTGTTTTCATGAACACATTCATATAGTTTAAAAGTATATGTTATTACTGATTTTCCTGCCCACGTTGCTGGCCCCAATCACCCCTCAGGGCTTCTCCACCTCCCCCTGCTCCTGAGGGGAGATCAGGGCAGCTGCCGCTCACACCCGCTGATGGCACCAGCCCTGCTTGCACCCACTGCTGGTGCCAGCCCCAATTGCTCCAAGCCTTCAGCGGGTGAGAGCGGGGCTGGTGCCGTGAGTGCATGGGAGTGGTGGTGGCAGGAGCGGGAGCTGTTGGCAGACAGGGGACTGGGGCCGAGGTGGGAGGGGCCTGGAGGGGGCAGGGAGGATGGGCCGAGACCCGCCCCTGTGCCTACTGCAGCCTCACAGCCCACAGTTCCTTTCAAGGTGCACAAATTCGTGCACTGGGCCCCTAGTTAAAAATAAAAGGCACACCTGAAATGCAAAAAAAAAATCTCTCCCACCCACCACCCACTCCCGCCATCCCTCTGAAATTCATCAGTCTGTGAAGGCACTAATATTTCTTTCAGGTTCAGATTCTGGCAGCTGTTTATTTCTATCTTCCTTTGGTATTTTTCTGCATCACCATTGACTCTGAGGTCCACATGGAGGGTCAGCAGCTACATAGTTCAGTTGTGCGAGCTGAGTGAGAGCAGGTCCCTGTCTCCTGGGCTGGCCTCTCCATCCAGCAGCCACCTTCCCCCTCAGCCCTGGCAGGCCCAGGCCTCTGGCTCATGCAGTCTGCACACCTCTGCCACTACCTCCTGTAGCCACACTCTCATTGCCCCTGAAACCTCTCTGGCCGCCTCCTGGTCCCGCTCTGTGTGTTTCTGCTTCTTCCCACTGGCCCTGAGCTCCAGGGAAAATAATCCTGCTGTGGGCTTCCAAGTGCCCTTCCCTGGCTCTGCCTGGTAGGCTCCCGTAACTCTAGGAAACTGCTTGTTGGCCTAGTAAACTCGTACACCTGCCATCCTTCAGGAATCCGCTCAGGTGTCTCTCCCAGGAATTGTACAGCCTCCTCCTCGGAGCTGCCTCAGCACCAGGACAACTATGCACACACAGGACACTGTAGGTTTCTTAGGGCACTTCACTTTGATTTTTGCATTTCTAGCACAGAATCTGTCAAATAAGTGCTGAATACATATTTAGACCCACATTCTAATACTCTCATCTTCAACTCCTGTTTAGAACAAGGTGGGGGGATTTAAATGGGGAAAAAAAACCTGACAAGAGGGCCCTCATATTAAACCCTGTTTGTATTTCACTGCCCTGGATGGAAACTCATCTTTAAGATGAAAAGTGGGACCAGATGACCTACAGCCCCTTTTAGTTTTACTAGTAAAGATCTTTCCTAAGAGGAAAATCCCTCAGCATCCCCTAAGCTTCCCACTGTGACTTTCTTGTACATTTTCTACCAACCATGAACCCATTTAGGTTAACATGTTACTCTTTTAATATGTTTATTATTTGCTAGAAAGGCCTTCTTTATCAGTTGGTGGGAGTGGCTTTAAGTAGAAATCCTCTTACGGAGATTATGAGAAGTTGTGGCAGTTCATAAGAAAAGCAGGACAGATGGGTGCTGGGGACAGTGAGTACTGGACAAGCGGACTTTGGATGGAGGACTTTTTTCTGGCATACAGGTCACAGCTCTGATGCTCATTAGTGCTCCTCAGCTGCAATCCACTCTTGGCCCCAATTCCTGGCCCATGAAAAAGCCTCCTCCTCGGAGCTGCCTCAGCACCAGGACAACTGGTGCCAAAATCCGTAAAGAGCCTAGGGATCCTTGCCAGACACAGCCAGTTTCACATCCCGGCTCTGTCACCTACTGGCTCTATGATTTTGGGTCAGTTATAGATCCTCTATTTTCTTTTCTTTTCATATATATATTAGAGGTCTGGTGCATGACATTTGTGCAGTTCATAAGAAAAGCAGGACAGATGGGTGCTGGGGACAGTGAGTACTGGACAAGCGGACTTTGGATGGAGGACTTTTTTCTGGCATACAGGTCACAGCTCTGATGCTCATTAGTGCTCCTCAGCTGCAATCCACTCTTGGCCCCAATTCCTGGCCCATGAAAAGCCAAAATCCGTAAAGAGCCTAGGGATCCTTGCCAGACACAGCCAGTTTCACATCCCGGCCCTGTCACCTACTGGCTCTATGATTTTGGGTCAGTTATAGATCCTCTATTTTCTTTTCTTTTCATATATATATTAGAGGTCTGGTGCATGAAATTTGTGCACTGGGGGGTCCCTCAGCCCGGCCTGTACCCTCTCCAATCCGGGATCCCTCTCGCAATCCTGGACTGCTGGCTCCTAACCACTCACCTGCCTGCCTGCCTGCCTGATCACCCCTAACCACTCTGCCTGCCTGCCTGATCGCCCCTAACTGCTCTCCCCTGCCAGCCTGATCGCCCCTAACTGCTTCTGCCTCGGCCTCCGCCACTGTGGCTTTGTCCAGAAGGACACCTGGAAGATATCTGGTCTAGCATATTACCCTTTTATTAGTATAGATATGTAATTGATTTCAGAGAGGAAGGGAGAGGGAGAGAGAGAAACATCAATAATGAGGGGGAAAAATCATTGATCAGCTGTCTCCTGCATTCCCCACACTGGGGATCAAGCCCACAACCTGGGCATGTGCCCTGACTGGGACTCGAGCTGTGACCTCCTGGTTCATAGGTCGACGCTCAACCACTGAGCCACGCCAGCCAGGCGATCCTCTATTTTCTCACCTGTAAAATTGTGGTAATAACAGTAAATGCCTCACAGGTTGTTGAGAAGATTAAAAGAGATGGTGGGCTAAGGTCCTGTCACATACCAAATGCACATAAATAGCAACTGTCGCATTTTTGCATGGCTTTAGGGTTCCCTAGACTTTCCAGGACTAAGTTTGGGTCAGTGGGTTATTGGGTCTTGCTGTGAACTGGAGATGGGGTGGGGTGCAGTTTGGTCATAAGACAGGAGGCCTGGGGAATAGTTGCTGTGGAACCCTGAGGTTTGATCTGCTGAGGGATGTGGTATTCCAGGAGCTCCAGCACAATCACAAATGCACATCCTGCCTACGGGGTGATGGTTGATTAGATTCTGGTGTCTACTTCCTCTTTCAGCTCTGAACCCAGAGAAGACCACCATTTTACAGACTTGGAAGGCACACAGAAACGTTTATTTCAGATATTCAAACATTCATCCATAAATTATCTGTCTCACCTTTGGAAGTACCCATAAAAGATTCTTTCTCAAAGTGGGGAGAATTCAGAGCGGCTACATCTGAGGCCCCTGTCACATGTGTTGAGTCAAGATCCCTGAGATGGGGATGGAGAATCTATAGTAAACCAAATCCCGCAGGTGATCCTGATGCACCACACTCTTGTTCTGCAAGTGCGGTCTCAGGGCCAGCATCAGCTTCACTTAGAGGCTTATAAGAACTGCAGAATCTCAGGCCCCAGGCCACACCCACTGACTCTGCATTTTTAAACCATCGTCTAAAATACACGTAACACAAAGTTTACCATCTTAGCTGCTTTTAAGTGTACAGTGTAGTAATGCTTAAGTGCATTCACATTGTTGTGTAACCAATCTCCAGAACTCTTTTCATCTTGTGAAAGGGAAACTCTATACCATCCCTCTAAACCAGTGGTTCTCAACCTTGGCTGCACATTAGAATCACCTGGGAATCTTTTTAAAATCCTGATTTCTGGGCCTCATCCTCCGGAAATTCTGTTTCTTTGTTATGGGGTGGGGCCACAACATTAGTAATAAAGAAACAGAATTTCCGGAGGATGAGGCCCAGAAATCAGGATTTTAAAAAGATTCCCAGGTGATTCTAATGTGCAGCCAAGGTTGAGAACCACTGCTCTAAACAATCCCTCTCCTCCTGGCCTCCGGCAACCACCCAGAACCTGCATTTTCACAAGATCTCCAGGTGGTTCCTATGCCCAGTAAAGGTTGAAGAGCACTGCCCTAAGGGTGAGAACCACAGATGATAAAATCAGCAGCCACAGTGAGTTTACTGGGGCAACCAGGCCATGTCGTTGGACAAGGCCGTGGAGACCAGACGGCAGAGCAATGACACCTTCTGTAGACAATGCTGATGCCTGTTACAGTGTGAGACCCACTGCCCTAGGGCCAGTGATGTGCAGCCTGCTTACATATCAGAATCAGCTGGAAACTTTAAAGTATCCTGGGACCCATCCCAAACCAACTCCAGTCTCTAGAGTTAAAAGATCTCCCAGCAATTCTATGGTAGCAATTCTTGTGTGTGTGTTGTGTGTGTGTGTGTGTGTGTGTGTGAATCTTCACCCAATGATATGTTTTCCATTGATTCTTACAGAGAATGGAAGGGAGGGAGGAGGAGAAAGAGAGAAACATTGATGTGAGAGAGACACATTGATTGGTTGCCTCCCGCATGTGCCCTGACCAGGGCTGGGGAGCAAACCTGCAACCCAGGTCCCTGCCCTTGACTGAGAATCAAACCCATAACCCTTCAGTGCCCAGGCTGACACTCTAATGGTTAGAGTCTAACCACTTAGCAAAACTGGCGAGGGCAAACAATTCTGATAAGTTGGTAGGATGACATGGATTCTGCAACCAAGTGTGGGCATCAGAGAATATTTGTCCCAGGGAGTACTTGTTCTAAGTCTGGATTTCCTAACCCCTTCTTTTCCAAACCTTTTCTTTCTTTCGTTTAGCTCAGGTGACTGCCTCATTGCTAGAACTTATGGTCTGTATATATATATATAAAACACTGACTTGTGAATTGTCTCCTATCATTATACCAAGAGCTCTTGTAGAGAGAATATACAAAAAATTGAAAGATTTATTTAACTTATTTCCCAGCCCAAATGGAAATGTCTTTTGGGACAGGGACCTAACCTTCTGCTTCTTTCTGTGTTCCAGCCTAAATTCTGCAGTCAGACTCACAGAGCTGATTAAGCACTTTAAAGATCACAACAAGGACAATTAGTCAGATGGTTGGTGATGCTCCCAGAACATTCTGCGTCCCTTCAAGGAACCTCTGTTCAAATGCAGTGCCTCCATGCATGGCTGACACCATGGACCTATTTACATTGTGACCATGTACTATACTGATGGAATCATATTTTTATGTGCTTTACCTTTTAACAGAATTCAAAGTATTATGAAAAGAGATATTATGCTGAGGCTGACCAGCAGACCCTGAGCGACAGTGAATGGATTACTCCAACATTTGCTGTGAAAAAGAGGGCTAAGGGATTGCCTGGCTAAAGGAACCAGACAGCCTCGATTGCCTGCCTCATTAGGCTTTTATTGTAATAACAGTTTGAGATAAAGTTTATCTTTTAGATACAATCAGTAGAGGAATATTGGGAGTACACATGTGTCTGCAATGTCCTTTAAGCAAGGACACCTAAAGATTAAGCATAAGGATTCCAGTAAACACGCGGGGGTCTTCACGTGCACAGACTTGTTTGGAAAGGTCCAGGAATAGTTAGGACACCGCATTTAGCACTCTGTTAAGTCGGAACTCCGGTAAACAGGGCAGGTGGCCTTCCGCACACTTCCCTTTTCTCAGAATGTCCTCCTTACAAATTTTCCAACCAAGTCTCATGTGCTCCCCAACAATATTACGTCTTTAAATTGTCATGCTATTATTTGTGTTAAGACAGTGGCAGAGAATAGAAATCTCCTTCCCCAGTCTAATCTCCCCGGTTTCTTTAAGTAACAGATCCCCAATTTTTGGTTGGTGCATTGCCGTCCAGTTAACAGAGGACATTCCCTAGTTTCACGTGCAGATGACTTGGTCAGATGACTAGGTGCTTGCCATAGAGATGTGAGTGAGAGCATCATGTGGTAGGTCTGCAGTAGTGTCCTTATGAAGAAAGTGTTCTGTGCTAATTCTTCCTCTGGGCCTGAAACATGGCCGAGATGGCTAGAGCACCAGTTGTCTTGTTAGATGATGAGTACAGGGGCTGTTAGAGATCACAGAGTTGACAGCCAGAAGGAGATCGAGCCCTTAATGAATTTTGGGCTCCTTGCCACACCAACCCCCAAATTGCCTATTTATAAAACCCGTTTGCAAGAGAAAGTAGCCAACAGTTATATGCAGCTGACCCAATTTGGACTGGTACAAGGTATAGTTACATTATGCTCCTTTCACATTCAATTCATATGAATGAGGCTTAATCACAGATAATTAATACAATGATTCCATGATGATAAAATAGTGTAAAGTCTACTAATTGTACTGAACTGCTGGCTGAATGTAGCATTTTTATTTATAGTACAAAATAAAAAATGTTAAGATGCTTCAGAGAGTGTAGCTGATCCCAAAGCCAATTTTAGACAGCAATAAATAGCTCTAGCCACCAAAGATGTCCCCTGAATGAAAAAAAAGCACCATAGTCTAGTTAAAATAGAAACACTGCCATTGGTTTTGTCGATTTACTAGCAACTTTTGTTTTAAGTTTTAAGTAAATTTTAAACACATTTATTGTGCTGAAGAATTTTCTTCCTCAGAAAGAAAGAAAGTCTCTGTTCTAGAAACACATACATGAAAATTTTTTAAACAACCAAAGTGGGAGAGAGACAGAGACTAAGGTAAAGGCAGTACAATGGAAGATCATGATATTGGTCAGTAGGAAAACTGGGAAAAGCAGAACTTGGAGGGAAATGATGATAGTGGGTGTCCTATGTGCTGGCTGGGACATAGGGTAGTGATAATACCCACTGTAGTCATTTGCCACATAATGACATTTCGGTCAACAACAGGCCGTGTATACAAGGGTGGTCCCACATAATTATAATGAAGCTGGAAATTCCTACTGTCTAGTGACATCATAACATCCTGGCTCAGTGTTTGTGTTTGTGGTGATGCTGGTGTAAACAAACCTAATGCCCCACCAGTGGTATAAATGTATAGCACATACAATTACAGTAGTCGGCTATGCCATCCACGCTTGTGTAAGTGCACTTTATGATGTCTGTACACGATGTAATAGCCTAATGATGCATTTCTTGGAAGGACTCATCACTAAATGTGAATAATGGATTTCTGTTTACAAAGCCCATGAATTAACTCACTCAGAGACAGGAACACTGGGAGGGTTGTGAGGGCTTATGGGTGAGGGAAGGGTAGACCATAAAGGAAGCAGGAGGCAGTTCTTCTGGGTGACGGAAAAGTATAAAGCCTTCACATTCCAGCCATCCAAGATAACCAAGGTTGGTCATAATGTTTGGTCGTGTTTATAAATAGCAGGGAATGATTCAGGTTTTGCATCTCACTCTTATGCTGTTTTGGAGAACCTCTTTAAGAAGAATACAAAATTAAGTTCAGGGTCTTGAAAGAGACCTATGCAAGTGAGTTCCTAAGACTTTGTTAGTGCCACGGTAAATCCAGCTCTGGTCATTCTTTATACCTTAAAAACAAACAAAACCGGCACCATAGTATACATACTCTTCTGTAAACTCTTCCCCTCAACTACATATCTTGGGTACCCTCCTCTGTCAATACATGATTTAGCTCATCTTTTAAAATAATTCCGTGGTTGTCCCTCATTGATGATATTTAAGTTTTATTGCCACACTTTGATCTTCTCACGGGTGGGGAGTGCTTTACATAACAACTCAGCCTGGAATATGGTGAGTCCTAAATAAACATTTGTTAAATTGGTATGCTGTTCTGAGCTGTACAGTCTCCAGGGCTGCCCGTGTAAAAGATGGTGATCTGTACTCTGAAGCTGCCTTTGGCTGGAGTGGTAAGAGAGAGAACAAAACAGCACTCTTCTGTCCTGGAAGCCCGTCCTTCCTCAGTATCTCCTTCCCCGTCCCACTCCCTTAGGCTGTCAACACCCAGCCTGGATCTTAGTGAGAGGAGGGAAACCTCACTGAACAGGTTTGGCCAGAACACAAGATGGTGTTTCAGGAATATGCTCGAGATTTCAATGCACTTAAAAACAAACAAAAAACCCCACACACAACTTTTTATTTATTGATTTTAGAGAGAGAGAAAGAGAGAGAGAGAGAGAGAAAAATGTTGATTTGATTTGTGCAATTCCACTTATTTATGCATTCATTGGTTGCTTCTTATATGTGCCCTGATTGGGGATCAAACCCACAACCTTGGTTTATCAGGTCAATACCCTAACCAACTGAGCCACACAGCCAGGGCTATTTCAATGCACTTTTAACTTTAGAGGGAAAGTTTCATGAACATTCTTTCCCCAGATCAATGACAGCCACGTTTAAAAATCAAAACCTGAAAAATAGTGCCAATCGGGACGTCTTGAGCAGTGCATTTAGCTGTTGTGAACCTGAAAAACAAAGAACATTAGAAATGAACAAAAATTTCACAAGGAGTGCGGCACTCTAGAAATAAATTCCGCCTTACATTTTATATGATAAAGGGGACCAGGAATATATCCACTTTAGCTGGGACAAAGGCATAAGTAATTCATTTGTGAGAAGAGACATTCTCTAGAAATAATAAACAGACCAATAATATCAGTGAAAGAAAGAAAGGCTTCTATCGTCCCAGAATAGTGGATAGAGTTTTGGTGTTTTTGATGAGAAAATTTGCATGCTCGTTTCCTAGAAGAAATCTCTACAAGCTTGCTTAAGGCCACCTAGTCCGGTAGTGACTGTCCCCAGGTCTTGTCTGTCCCCTGATGACTAGAGACACAGGTGAATCTACCAAGAATCTACAAGGTTCTAAACCATAAAGAAATACGCTTCCTAGGTGGCAAGAAATAAATTCTTCAATCTCGGTTGGAATTCATATTGCCTTTTATAAAAATGCACCCTATTCCAGAGAGAAACCTTTCAGATTTGCTTGTTCATATTTTATTAACACTTATATAGACTTTGTAAATATATTACTGCTATTTGGCCCAGGTGACTGATGAAATATTGACAGCGTGTGATTTATTTGCACAGAATGGCACAGCAGGAAGGCTATTTGGTTGTAATTACTTAGGGTTTTATTACCTGCTCTGCTAAGGGAAAGTGTGAAAAGGTGAAAGCACCAATTGTTCTCAATTACTTGAAGTATTTTCTGTAAATATCTAACCCCTTCCTGCATTTTTATTAGCCAAACTGAAAGGGAAATTATCAGATTATTTAATGGATTTTTTGTTGTTGTACAAATACTGATAGTCGACATTAAAACATTTCCAATTCTGTATATATGACAGAAAAATGTAGTGAAACCCATAATAATGTATCTTCAAAAAATCAAAATGGGGATTTAATTTATGGTGTAATAATTTCCTGTGACAGGAATAATCAAAATCACGAGGTTTAAGCGTGAGCAACAGAGATGTGTGTGAAGACCACGTCTTGCTGGTTCACACCACCTCCAACCCAGGAGGTGACCCACATTCTCTGTGCTGTCCTGGGGTGGGCGTCTGCCAGGGCTTCACTGCTGCCCATTTAGGCTTGTTGCCTGGACAGCAAAAGCTTCGAGGAGCCCCTGCACCTGCCCACAAAAGCTCTCCAGAGCAGGGACCTCGGCCTGCCTCCTACACCACTCTGCGCCTGCTGTTCTAAAGCCTCCACCTCCCGCTTCAGGGCGCAGCGCCTGTCCTTAGCCTGGAGGAGCTCAGCCAGGACACATCTGTGCTCAGGCCCTGGGCCTCCCCGGGATCTTGCTCTGTGTCCAGGGAAGCCTGGTCCTTACCAGAAGCCCCACTAAACCACAGAACTCCCCAGATGAAAAGGGCCCCCAGGTGATATGCCACCAGGGTGTCAGGCTGAAGTGGGTCCCAGGCCAAAGGCAGGAAGTCCATTGAGAACTTGTATTGAGGTGGGCAGGGGTCCAGGGTGCTCTTGCTGTTGGTCAGTGGCAGCCCTCTGTGGAGCATGAAGTCTAAGGTGGAGTCCAAGGGGGTAGATCTCTTCCTCAAATAATCTAATAATACAGTGATTATTTGAGTAATCAAGGTGGCTTTCAAAAGAAAGAAGTCCTCCTAGAGGTTCAAAGAACCAATGTAAAAAGACTAATAGTTCATTCTATAAAAAGATTTTCAATTGAAAAAAAAGAAAAAACAAACAAAGATTTTAAATTGTAAATGATCACTGCAAAAGCCATGGTTTTTTGCGACTGGATCTTCTAGAACAGCGGTTCT